GAAAGCTACGTTAGCAGAAGCTGGTGACAGTCCATAGGACAAAAGTCTTATTCACTGGGCAGGGAGTGCATTACTGTGTCATTTTGTTTAAACCTCTTTTAAAGAGCTAGGGAACCCAGTGACCAGGAGGTGGCACTAGAACCCCATGGGAATTTTTCTCTAGTTTGCATCCAAGGTGTTTTTCAGATGGAAGATGTGTCTCTCTGTCTCTCTCTGTAATTTCTTTAAATTTAGTCTCCTCAGCTATAAATTGGGGTTACAAATTCCAGGGGTGACCATTTGGTACAGCAATTAAGGTGACACTTGTGATGCCTGCATCCCATATCAGAGTGCTTCTCTTTGAACCCTATCTTTTCCAAGTCCAGCTTCTTGCTAATGCATATCCTGGGAGGCAGTAGGTGATGATTTAAGTATTTAGGTCCCTGCCATCTGTCTGGGAGACCTAGATTTAATTCTGGGCTCCTTACCCCAAACTGGCCCAGTTCCAGCTGTTGTAGACATCTGGGAAGTGAACCAGCCAATGGAAGATCTCTGTCTTTCTCTCTGTCTCTCTGCCTTTCAAATAAAATGAAAATATATAATAAATGTTTATAAAAGAAATTCCAGTCATTATTTAAGAATAAACAGAGATAATATACATGGCATGATGTATGCCCAATAAACATGTGCTGATTGAGTGCTCTTTGAAGCCCTCTATGCCTGGCTTCAGTGTCTGTGGCTCAGTGGACGTGTCACTTTTTTAGATGAATTGATAGCGTGCTTTTTTAGCTGAGCTCTGGATAAAATAAGGGGCCAGCAACAAAAGATCAGGGAGAAGATTTTGTTCCCGACAGAAACACTAGCTGATTCAAAGGTTTCCAGGTGTGAACCAGTTTGTCCTGTTAGTATCATGGAAAGGAGGCCAGAGTGGTTGGGGGAACAAAAGTGAATGAAATTGAGAGTGGTGAAAGATGAGGTCTGACAGGACCCCCTCTTGTAGGAAGGCCCTGGGGAGGAGGCTGGGTTTTCTTCTCAATGCGGCAGAAATTACTGAGAATTTTAAGCGTGGGGTTACATGATGTGGTTTACATTTTCTAAAGGGGTAGGGAGTCCCATCTAGGAGAGAAAAGGACTGGGATGATAGTTGGGGAGATGAAAAGATCATAGATGAGGGCTGTTCTGTATTTTGAGGTAGAAAAAAAGCAATTGCTTGCGCGTTTAATGTGGAAGAGGGAATGACTACTTACGAAATGTCTCCTAGGTTTTTGAGTGGAAAAGCATGGGTGATCCACTAAATACCTCCATGACCCATGAACAATTTTCAGATTTTGAAACCTTTTTTTTTTTTAAATTATTTATTTGAAAGGCAGAGTTACAGATAGAGGGGGGACAGAGAGAGGGACAGAGAGAGATCTTCAATCACTGATTCACCCTCTAAATGGCCACAACGGCCAGGGCTGGGCCAGGCTGAGCCAGGAGCCTGGAACTTCATCTGGATATCCTACATGGGTGTCAGGGACCCAAACACTTGGCCACCATCTGCTGTTTTCTCAGGCACATTAGCAGGAAACTAGATTGGAAGTGGAGCAGCCTGGACTTGAACTGGCACTCATACCGGATGCCAGCATTGCAAGCACAGGCGTAACCTGCTATGCTACAATGCCAGCCCTCACATTTTGAAGCCTTCTACCTGTATCCTGCAGCTTTTGATTTAGCGTGCTGGGGAGGGATTAAGTTACAGAGAACATCCAAAGAAGACTCACTGTACTCCTGAATAAATAGGCCATTGAAGTAGAAGCCAACATATGGCATTCCAATGGGTCCTGAGGCCTGGGACAGGTCATGACCCTTCTCATTCTGCTCTCCTCCAGGATTATGGTCCCAGCTTGGATGCCTTCCCTCTATGAAAGCCTTTTTTAGTCCTTCCAGGTATAGCTACTTTCTCCCTTCTTGGTGTCATAACAGCAATTTTCTTGTATTTAAGACATTGTGCCTTGCATAATAGTTGTCTGTTATACATACCTTTCTTACTATATTTGAGAGAAAGAGACACTCACACACACACACACACACAGAGCGAGCAAGAGAGATATCCTATTAACTAATTCACTTCCCAAATGTTTACAATGACTTCCCACTAGGGCTGAAATTGGGAGCCTGTACTTATTCCAGGTCTCCCACAGGGGTTGCAGAAACCTAGTTACTTGAGCCATCACCACTGCCTCCTAGGGTCTGCATTGCATAAAGCTGGAGTTGGAGGCTGGAGCTGGGCATAAAACTCAGCTTTCCTGATATGAGACATGGGCATCCTAACTGGCATCTTAACTGCTAAGCTAAGCACCTGCCCCTTACTGTATTTTAATCTCCTTGAGGAAAGGGCCTGCTGTTTGCATTATTATGCTCTTCCTATAATGAATACAATCTGATGGTCTTCAGCACCCATATCTATCTCTTTTTGCATTCCCTAGACTTCCTTGCAGCTAGAGTTTGGATGTGATTGAATGTTTTTTTTCCAGTTAAATGAGTTGGCATGATATTTGGAAGGTAGGAGTGAGTTGGACGCTAGCACCGGTGATATTGGCTTTTTATTTTGGCAAACAAGTTATAGAGACATGGATGTTGACAGGCATTTTTGGAAGCAATACTAGCAGCTTCTGGATGCCAGGTTTCTGATTCCTGGCTTGCAATTCTGGTGAGGCATAGAACTTAAAATAGTTACAGGAACTGCTTGCTGATTTCATTTTTCTTTTCTTTTTATTTTTTTTACAGGCAGAGTAGACAGTGAGAGAGAGAGAGAGACAGAGAGAAAGGTCTTACTTTTGCCGTTGGTTCACCCTCCAATGGCCGCCACGGCCGCGCGCGCTGATCCAAAGCCAGGAGCCAGGTGCTTCTCCTGGTCTCCCATGGGGTGCAGGGCCCAAGGACTTGGGCCACCCTCCACTGCACTCCTGGGCCATAGCAGAGAGCTGGCCTGGAAGAGGGGCAACCGGGACAGAATCCGGTGCCCTGACCGGGACTAGAACCCAGTGTGCTGGTGCGGCTAGGCGGAGGATTAGCCTATTGAGCCATGGCACCGGCTATTGCTGATTTCTAATAATTCAATCCCTAATATTTTAGATATTAAATCTCTGTTTTGTGTAAAATACCTAAAAAGGTTACTGTTTTGCTCATTGAATGAGGTTTGCTTCTTTCTTTTTTTATATAAAGATTCACAGGATATTTAAAATTTTCATGGGAAAGATGGCATTTTTTTTCTTTTTTTAAAAAAGACTTATTTATTTGAAAGGCAGAATTTACAGAGAGAGAGAGAGAGAGAGAAAGAGAGAGAATCTTCTCTCTGCTATTTTTCACTACCCAAAAGACTGTAACAGCTAAGGCTGGGTCAGGCTGAAGCCAGGAACCAGGAACTCTATCTGGGTCTCCAACCAGCCCACCAGGGTGGCAGGAACCCCAGCAATTGGGACATCTTCTGCTGCATTTCCAGGTGCATTAGCAGAGAGCTGGATAGGAAGTGGAGCCATTGAAACTCAAACCAGCACTCACATGGAATGCTGGCATCACAGGTAACGGCTTAACCCACTGCACCACAAGACCAGTCCTTGAATGAGGGTTTCATTCAGTCTCATTTCTCTCTGCTTATGTTTTCTATAGAGTAGCTGCCCAATAAATAGTCAATTGAATTTATTTCAAAGCCACACTTATATCCTCCACCTTCTCACCCATTCAAAAAACAAATAATTGGGGCTGGTGCTGTGGTGCAGCGGGTTAAAGCCCTGGCCTAAAGCGCTGGCATCCCATATGGGCACCAGTTCTAGTTCCGGCTGCTCCACTTTGTATCCAGCTCTCTGCAATGGCCTGGGAAAGCAGTAGAAGATGGCCCAAGTCCTTGGGCCCCTGCACCCACGTGGGAGACCCAGATGAAGCTCCGGGCTCCTGGCTCCGGATTGGCTCAGCTCCAGCCATTGCAGTCATCTGGGGAGTGAACCAGCAGATGGAAGACCTCTCTCTCTGTCTCTACCTCTTTCTGTAACTCTGTCTTTCAAATGAATAAAATAAATCTTTAAAAAAAAAAACAAATGATGAATGCTGCAGATATTAGTGTCTACACACAGTGCTGAGCAGTACAAGGTAGTGTAAAATATGATTTTATTACAAGTTTAAAAGGGGAAGAAATTACAATAGAATATGAGCCAAATGCTGTAATAGCGAGGAGAGGAAACTTAGAGAAAGCAGAATGTTGAGGGTCCAGGAAGGCTGCTTAGAAGAGGTGACATTTTAGTTGGGACACATGGGCTACCTGAGTTTTTGCCAGGTGTAAAACAACATTCAGGCATCCCAGGCAGATGAAATAGTATACTTAAAGATACAAATTCATAGGTAACTAATAGAGTGCCTGAAATATAACGTATGGGAGTGAAATGGACATTTTGAGATTTGGTGATTGTTTACAGCCCTTGTCTCTTCCATTGAAGAACAGTGTTTTTTTCTCCATACTTTTACTTAGTGGAGTTACCTATATGATCATTAAGTAAGCTGAAAATAGATCTTGGTAAAACTTAAGAGTGGGAATGTAAGCAGGAGGAGGAAGAAAGGATGGAGTGTGGGTGGGAGGGAGGGTGGGATGGGAAGTATCACTAATGTTACTAATGTTCCTAAATTTGTATATATGAAATACATGAGGTTTGTATACCTTAAATACAATTTTTTTTTTATTTTTGATAGGCAGAGTGGACAGTGAGAGAGAGAGAGACAGAGAGAAAGGTCTTCCTTTTGCCGTTGGTTCACCCTCCAATGGCTGCCGCGGCCGGTGCACTGCGGCCGGCGCATTAAATACAATTTTTTAAAAAGATATAAATTTATGGAAGATTATGGTCCACTGTGAAAAGGCCAAGTCCTTGGCATGGTTGCTTGGAGAACTAGATGTTTCCAGGAGGAGCCTCTCATGACACCAGGTCACCTGGGCCAGAGAAGGACCTGTGCGCTATACTAAGGGTGGTGAGGTTTATTCTTAAGTCTCTGGGAGCTACTGCGACGGGAGATTATGGCAGTGGAGATGGAGACATGAGACTCCAGAGTGATGCAGCATCTCGAGTACAGAATTGGCAAGGCCTGAGTGCTGTTTGAGTGCTGTGGTGATTGAGTACTAAGGGTCAAATATGATCCCTGGTTGGTGACAGGAACTGCAAAAAAATTTTTTTAAGTAGTTGGTTTGAACTTAATTTGTGAAAACCAGAAGGTAATAATATCAAAAGGGCACACAGGTGGATGCAGGGGGCTCTGCGGCACAGGAGGACAGGAGGCCTCCTACTTGGTGGCAGGCTGCTCCAACCCGGGCTGCCTAGCTGGGCGTGGGCCTGGAAGGTGATGCTGGCCCTGCAGGTGGTGGCTTTACCTGCTATACCACAGCACTGGCCCCAGATTATTTTCTTTTTCAATCCCCAGGAACTTAGGTAACAAAGAAATTTTAGAAGTGAAGAAATGAAGTTTTATTCTCAGAAAGTAGCCCACAAGTGAAGATGTCACAATCCCACAGTGAAGAAAGAAGAGTTGTCACAGTCATTGCTCACCAATAATTTATTGGGTATTTTAATACAGTTTCATAGTCTGCACAGAGATTTTTATAGTGAAAAATTTTCAGTTCTTGGGAGCTGTGGATCGACAGTTTTGGGCCCTTGGTATCTGAAAACAGATGACATATGCTTTCGTTCTGTTTTGTGTGATCAGAAATTAGACAAGTATTGAGTTGGAGTGAGTCTAGTTAGCTCTAATGCTAGGTGCTCAGTGGACAGTCCCTCTGATGAGGGGTAGGATCCTGGGTGCAGGAAATGTAAGCATCAGAGGTGCCCTCCATAGTCCCTGGTTGTCTTAGCAGTCTCTCACTGTGTGTCATTCTAGTCTATCAGGCTTGCTATTCTGATGTTTTATCCACAGGAGCCAAGCTTTTTAAGACTAGCTTTTCTCTCCTTGGATGTAATGGAAATCTTCAGAATACCTCGCCTGTTTCTGAACTTCAGGGAGAAGTGTTCTGTCAGTGATCCAATCAGGACCTGCCTACATAGATGAAAACCAGGAAATGATTCAAATCCCCCAAATTAAGATCTGATTATTTCACCCAGTTTACCAGTTAGATCTCACTCATCCAGAAAACTTTAGAACTGCTGCTCAAAGAACTGAAATGTGCTGCCCGTGAACACTAGCCGTCAAGAGCATCCTTGCAGAGGCCAGAAGGAAGACATGCATGCTTTCCACCTCCTAAACGGTGGGAAAGATAAAGTTATCATGTAAGTTTCTTCTTTAGCTCTGGTGCTCACATAGCCTAATACTGATGTGATTTCTGTTCATGTATATAGCTTTAGAAGAAGTTGGGAAAAACTGCCTTGGTAGAATCAGCTCTGCTCTGTTGTCTTCTTTGAGGCCTCATACTACTCTGGGTTAGATGCAAAGCTGTGTCACAGTGTCTTCCCTGTGAACTTCAGCTCTGGTCATCTTCATTAATGTGGATTTTGCCTCTGTTTTGATAGGCTTGCCCGAGATCCTTGAAACCTTTCTTTCTTCTTAGGGCTTTGTCTATCCCATTGTTGCTGATGGCTTTGATTATCTTCATGGGTTTTTCTGTCTTGACTTTTGTGGTTGTGCTCATCTTCCTGGTTTTGTCTATGCTGTAGTTTTGAATCTCTTTATGAGTTTGCTTGTCTTGTCTCTGGTGGTTCTGCTCATCTTTATGGGTTTGTCTGTCCTTTGTCTGATGGCTTTGTTCTTCACGGGTTCTCCTGTCCCTCATGGCTGTGTCTACCCCAGCTTTGAGGGACCTGCTTTTCTGCTGCCTGATGGCTCTGTTCCTCACCATGACTTTGCCTGGCCTGGGCCTGTCTCTGACCCTGCTCACTGCTGCATGACTGCCAGTCTCTCCCTTTCTGGTGTGGTGCCCTTTCTTGCTGAGTTTGTGCTAAGAGTTTGTGTTGGTGGTATTGGCTGTCTTCCTTAGGCTCTCGCATGTAGTGGCTGTTCTGCTGCTCTTCCTTAGATTGGAATCCCTGTCTCTGACGTTGCTTCACTTTCTGTCCTTGAATCTGTTGAATTAGTCTTCCTGACCGCTCAACATATGAATCTGTTCTTGTTTCCTGAGACCTCTGGATGCACCTATTTTGTTTTTGTATTTCTGTTTCCCCAGCCTGTGACTGGCTGTAGTGGGAACTCTGGCCCTATCTGTCCATTTGACAGTAGTGAGAGCTCTGGTCTTATCTGTCTGTCTGACCATAGTGAGAGCTCTGGCCCTGTCTGTCTGTAGTGAAGGCTCTGGCCCTGTCTATCTGACCATAGTGAGAGCTCTGGCCCTGTCTGTCTGTCTGACTGTAGTGAAGGCTCTGGCCCTGTCTATCTGACCATAGTGAGAGCTCTGGCCCTGTCTGTCTGTAGTGAAGGCTCTGGCCCTGTCTATCTGACCATAGTGAGAGCTCTGGCCCTGTCTGTCTGTCTGACTATAGTGAAGGCTCTGGCCCTGTCTATCTGACCATAGTGAGAGCTCTGGCCCTGTCTGTCTGTAGTGAAGGCTCTGGCCCTGTCTATCTGACCATAGTGAGAGCTCTGGCCCTGTCTGTCTGTCTGACTATAGTGAAGGCTCTGGTCCTGTCTATCCATCTGCCATAGTGAGGGCTCTGGCCTTTACTGTCTGTCTGGTCACATTGAGAATTGAATCTGTACCTGTATCTTTGATTATAGCCTGATTCCTTTTGGTTCCTTTGGCTGGAGCAAGAGTCTGGTCTGAGGCTCACAGATTGGTCACAGCTTTATTGTTGTCCAACCTTCTCAGACTGACCATAATGAGAATCTCGAGGTGGTTTCTCACACTGACCTAAGGCAATGATATTTTTTGTATTTTATGCTGGCCATCGCTGGATTTATGATTCAATCTTCGACCTGAGCTACAGTCTTGACCTTGCCGCCTAGACTTATCGAAGCCATAATCATTGTCTTGTCTCTTAGGCTGACCCTGGAAGGAGTCCCTGTCTTGTCTCTCAGACTGACCACGGTGGGAATCAGGCTGACTATGTAGGAGTCCCTATCTTGTTTCTCTGTCTGACCATAACAAGAATGCTGGCCCTGTCTCTCAAGCTGACCACAGTGAGAATATGTATCTTGCTTCTTTGACTGATTGTAGTGATAATCCTGGCCCTGTGTCTCAGACAAACTATAGTGAGAGTCCTTATCTTGTCTCTCTGACTGGTCATATTGGGCATCCTGACTTTGTCTTACAGATAGACTGGGAAGGGGGTTCTGCCTTTCCCCCTCATGCCTCTGACTGTGTTGTCTGCCTGTATTTCTTGGAAAATTATGATCTCGGTTTCCTTCCTGTCCCCTTTCTTGCTGGGAGGTTATATTTCTATATGACTCGTTATCGAGTTTACAATGGCAGGCTTTGGCCAATTGGAACACCAACAAGAGATATTCATGAAAATCAACTTGTCCATTTTTATTTTGATCTAAGAGATCCAAGATGTTTTCCACAGTCTCTGGGTTACTTAGTCTCTGTGAGAAGAGAAAGCAGAGAAAAATCAAATGATTTTCTGTGGATACGAAGATGCTTATTGGTATTCATGCCCCAATCCCATTCAGTCCTGGACAGATCTTCTTTGGTTGAGAAACCATTAATCTGAAGTGGCTTGATTCTTTTATTTTTATTTTTATTTGTTGACAGGCAGAGTGGACAGAGAGAGAGAGACAGAGAGAAAAGTCTTCCTTTGCTGTTGGTTCACCCTCCAATGGCCACCACGGCTGCGCGCGCTGCGGCCGGCGCACCACGCTGATCCGATGGCAGGAGCCAGGTGCTTCTCCTGGTCTCCCATGGTGTGCAGGGCCCAAGCACTTGGGCCATCCTCCACTGTACTCCCTGGCCACATCAGAGAGCTGGCCTGGAAGAGGAGCAACCGGAACAGAATCCGGCGCCCTGACCGGGACTAGAACCTGGTGTGCTGGTGCCGCAGGTGGAGGATTAGCCTAGTGAGCCACGGCGCCGGCTGTGGCTTGATTCTAGTCTTTGATCAGCTGATTCAAAACATCGTCCCTTGCTGGACCAATGGGAGTATGACCACAGGGAGTAGATATACTTATTTAAAATAAGCTCCGTTAATAATTAATTTGTCATTTGAGGAAGTTATCCCATCCCATTATATGGTATATTCTAATTGTTTAACCCAGTTCCTTATCATCCTGCTGTGAGATCCTGGAAGAAGGGGAAGCTGCCTTTATTTATGTTTGCATTCCTAGTGCCTAGAGAGAGATATCTTCTATCCCCTGGTTCACTTTCCAAATGGCTACAATGGCTGGAGCTAGGCCAATCAGAAGCCAGGAGCCAGGAGATTCTTCCAGGTCTCCCACACAGGTGCAGGGGCCCAAGGACTTGGACCATCTTCTTCAGCTTTCCCAGGCAATCCAGCTGGGAGCTGGATTGGAAGTAGAGCAGCTGGGATGCAAACTGACACCTATTTGAGATGCTGGCACTGCAGGTGGCAGTTTTACCTGCTACACCACAGCTCTGGCCCCCTAGGAAAACATTTTGAACACCAGAGATAGGACATACATAGAGCTTAACATCAAAAGTCTAGATGCATGGCTGGGCCTCGATTTCCTTGAAGAGATGAGGTTTGTGTTGTCCCTAAAAGGATTCAGGTGGACAGAGGAGTAGCAGAAGAAATTCTAGGTGGGAGAAGAGAAAGACCAATAGTCCAAAGGTGAGACTGTTTTATTTTGTTTGGACTAAAGTGAGCTGATTAGTCTGACTGGATAAAAGGATATAGAGAAAAGTAGAGTTAAAAAAAACTCTGGAGCTGAAAAGCATATCTAGTCATGGCCTCTTAATTTTTTTTAAAAAAAGATTTATTTATTTTGAAAGAGAGAGAGAGGGAGAGGGAGAGACAGATCTTCAATCTGCTGGTTTACTCTTCAGATGGCCACCAGGAACCAGAAGCTTCGTCCAGGTCCCCACATCATGGCAGGGGCCTAAACACTTGATCCATCTTCTGCTGCTTTTCCTAGGCCATTAGCAGGGAGCTGGATGGGAAATGGAGCTGCTAGAACATGATCCAGTGTGCATATAGGACACCAGCTTTGCAAGCAGCAACTTTACCCACTATGCCACAATGCCAGCCTCTTGCCCTCATAATTTTACAGGTGAGGAAATTGAGATCCAGCTAGATTGAGTGACTTGTCATGGGTTCCATAGGGCTATGTCAGAAATACAGCTTTTTGTGTTTTGTTATTCTCTCTGCACCTTGCATCCTCTGCTGTTCTGGGTCTGTCATTACTAGTCAGGTCTTGCCAAGTTTCCATAAATCCTCAGAGCTGCCTCATGCTGAGATTGTCTTTCTGCTCTTGTATCTATACTTACTGCTCTTCAGGGATGTCTTTTCTCACCTATTGGAACTGAAGACCCAGAGGAGGTTTGGCTGCTCCCGTAGACAAATGGGGAGGTAGGAGTGGGTGGGTAAGGTGTACAGACATAGCTGTCATGACAGAGAATAGGAATGCTATGGCCCCTTTCTGTTGGCATTTTCCTGGGGTGCCTAGCAATGATTTCTTTTGGCTAGATGGGCAAACCCATTTGCCTGATGGGGCAGTGGACAGAAAGATTATGTTCTTAGTAGTAGGATCTGCTATGTCTGCATTCATTTAACACAATACATTTTAGAGGATGGGCAGAGAATGGTGTTGATCAGCTAGTCAGTTGGTAGGTGTTTGAGTAGATGGATCCTGCAAGCACTGACATAAAAATACTTGAACTTGAAGAACTTTTTCTCTCCGGGAGATAGGATACACAGGATGCTCCTCTGTGGTTTAAACTGCTTCACAAGTGTTTATTACTGTTGTTAGTACAGTATAGATAGGTAGAGTAGAGGGAAGATAGGGAGGCTGCAAGGGCTAGAATGCAGATTTGAAGGAACAATGAGCTATTCTGGGTAATTTTGGGCAGATCACTTAACCTGACCTAGAATTTTTATATTTGTAAAGGGAAAGAATTGGAGTTTCCTTTGGCATTAGCATTCTGTGATTCTGTAATGCCAACCTTGTAGTTAGCGAAAGGTTCAAAGGTAATACTTTAACTGCTATTTTCATGAATTTGATAAAAGTCTCAGAACTTCATGCTTCTCAGTCTTTCTCTGTGGGAAATGGAGAGGGCAATAATTGGTATACTATTACTTCACTAACAATTTCAGTTGCATCATGACCTATGCTATTTTTGTTTATTTTCAATGTTTTTGTGCTGCTTTTAATGTAGTCATGCTTGAGTATGGCCTTGTTGTTTCTAAGGCAAGGATTTTTCTCTCTTTTTTTTAAAAAAAGATTTATTTATTTGAAAAGTCATAGTTACAGAGAGAGGGAGATGGAGAGAGAGAGGAAGAGAGAGAGGGAGAGAGAGAGAGAGAGAGAACTCTTCCATTCGTTGGTTCACTTCCCAGATGGCTACAGTAATCAGCCTCTGGGCCAGGCCAAAGCCAGGAGCCGGGAGCCCAGAGCTTCATCTGGGTCTCCCACATAGGTGGCAGGTGCTCAAACTGCTTTTTCCAGGCCATTAGCAGGGAGTTGGATCAGAAGTAGAGCAACTGGGATATGAACTGGCTCCTATATAGGATGCCAATGTCACAGGTAGTGGCTTTACGATTACACCACAATGCCAGCTCTGCAAAGCATTTTTATAAAAGATTTGTTTATTTGAAAGGCAGAGTGACAGAGAGAGAGAATCTTCCATATATTGGTTCACTCCCCAAATAACCACAACAGCTGGGGCTGAGCCAGGCTGAAGCCAGGAGCCAGGAGCCAGGAGCCAGGTGCCAGGAACTCCATCTGGGTCTCCCATGTGGGTAACAGGGTTACAGTACTTGGGCCATCTTTCACTGTTTCTCAGGTGGATGAGTAGGGAGCTGGATCAGAAGTGGAGCAGTTGGGACTTGAACCAATCCTCATATGAGATGCTGGAATCACAAGTGGTGGCTCAACGCTCTGTACCACAACACTGCTCCCAGGCAAAGCATTTTAAAGCTACAATCTAGTGAGGTCTTATTGTATTTCAGATTCTATGTTTAACATTTTATTTTGTGCTATTTTGTTTAATTCTTGGAACAGCGCCATTGAGGCAGAAAGGATTATTTTCATTTTCAAACAAGGAAACGGAAGTCAGAGAATGATAAATAACTTCTCATGGTCACACAGCTTGCAGTGGGCTGAACCCACATCTTCCTGATTCCAAAGCCTTTATTTGTAACCCTTGTGTAATTCCACCTCTTTTGGGACAGAACAGGTGATTGCCGACTGCTGCTTGAGAAATAGTTTTCCATACAGACTGAAGTGAGTAAGAACAAAGTAACTTCCTAATGACACACTATGAAGGGAATCAGCCTTGAAATGAGAACCTCCTAGTGCTTAACCATTCAAATAGTTTTTATTTTCTTACGTTTCTTCAGCACCTAAATAGTTCCCATACTGATGAACCATTTGGGGAGGCAAGACAAATGCTTATAAAAACAAAACCTAGAAACAGAAAAACTACCATCTGTTGTAATTGATAGCTCTGGGATTGCTTTGGAATGAGGTTAAGTTCTGCCTGCCCATTTGATGTAGTTCTCGACCTTATTGCAAGCTTTGCTGTTCATTCCCCTTGGGATGAAGATATGCTCAGTGGTTGGGACAGGTACTATTTTTGAATTAATGTAGTTTTTCTGGGAGTTTCCTCATTGTATTTTGGCCAACTCATTAAGGATGATTATTGTGAACCTTTCTTCTTCTTCTCTTTTGTTGAGATGTTGTGTATGTATTTAGAGAGATGAAACCCACAGGATCCATAGGATGGCAATTTGTACTACAAAGGAAGCCCCTTTGTACTGCTGGGATGCAGGTGGATAAATTGCAGATAGGGCAAGTGAGCACCTCCTGGAGAGAAGTGGGACTAATTAATAGACATAAAAACCATTGAGATTTCTTAAAAGGTCACATTATCACCTGCACAAGTAAGTTCCTACTTGAAAATCTTCCTTTGCAGGTGAATTATCCTCCTGTTAATTATAGGCCATTTCGGTATTAATGACATCTGTGGGAGTCAGTGGTTTTTTTTAGGGTAACACTGCCTCAGCAATATTTTAGCTTTGTCAGAAAATGTGTTCTGAGCCAAAGGAAGGAGACCTATATAGTTCCTGGGTGTCTAGCACACAGGATTTATTTTAAAAGGATTTATTTATTTACTTACTTGACATGCAGAATTACAGAGACAGGAGAACATACATACACACACATATACACACACACAGGGGAGAGGAGGATAGGGGAAGAGAGGGAGGGGGAGAGAGAGAGAGAGAGAGAATCGTTCACTGATCCCAAATAACTGCCATGATCAGGACTAGGCTAGGCCAAAGCCAAGAGCATGGAGCTCCATCCAGGTCTCCCACATGGGTGGTAGGGGCCCAAGGACTTGGGCCATCTTCCTCTGCTTTCCCAGGCACATTAGCAGGGCAGCCAAGATTCAAACTGGTGCTCTTATG